TGACTCTCCCCACCTCTCCTCCTCCTCCTCCTTCCAGCCCGATTTATCTCACACCCGGCGAGCTCCCTGCCAACCAAGAGTTTATGCAGACAACCGCAAAAGAGCTGGTGCCAGCCTCAAATGGGCTTCTCCCCTGGCACCCTGACATTCAATTACAAGCAACAGGCATGCAAGGGTGAGGCTAAAAAAAAATGAAGGGGAAAAAAAACCCAAGAAACCCCAAACTTTCCAACCCCCTTTTCCTTTATTTTTCAACTTGACCAGGCAGGATCAGGCTCCTATATATTATAATATTTTTACCCACTCCCATTTCTCAAGGCTCATTTGGGATTCCCAGCAACCAGGGAGATGCCAACCTGAGCTGTGTGCTGGATCCTGACCCTATATCCTTAAGAAATGCACCCACAGGTGCAGGAGCACTGTCATTTCCAACCAGAGCCCATGGTTTTCCTGGCTTTCCAAGTGACTGGAGCAGGGAAGGCCTGCACTGCATTGCAATCCCTCCTCCATCTCCCTGCCAGGAGGTTGTGTTGTGTTCTTTTTTTTCTTTTCCAAATCCTATTTTGTGTCTTAGATAAATTACATGTTCATTCTTCCAGAAAGCACAGACACACACACACACGCAAGCAGCCCAAAAGCCAGAAGTTTCCCCTGAGAAAGGGGCAGGGTTTTTTTGTTTGTTGTTTTTTTTTTTAAACAAAACAAAATTTCTGCCTCGCGAGGAAAAATAAGAAGAAGAAGAAGAAATAAGTCCACTTACCAGTTGGTTTGAGAAAATCCATTGGATATCTGGAGTAGGGTGGAGGGGGAGACTCTGGAATTAGAGAAGTAGAGAGAAAATAAAGGCAGAGCCATGAGACAAGAAAAAAAAAAGAAAGAAAAAAAGATAGGAACTTATGATAACAGTGGCATTCTTTTAGCAAAACTGTTTGTCTTAGCTCTGGGGGTTGGAGGCAGGGCAGCGAGGCGGTGATTGCCTTGATATTTAGCTGTCAGATAAACAAAAGGGGCCGTCTGGCGCCAGTCTCCCTGCTATCTGCCGCTCGGGCTGTCTGATCGGGGCCTCCTTGGCTCGACTGAGCCGGGGCCGCCCGGCCCCTAATCCCCCGGCACCGTGCGGGGAGGCAGCGCCGTGGGGCGGGGGGGGTGTAGGGATAGAAAGAGGGGGTGTTAGGGGGTGGGGACCCCCTCCCCTAAATGAAACAAATTGAATAGATCGAAAGAGAGTAATGGAAAGTTGGGGGGTTTTTTTGGGGGGTTGTTGTG